AGAGTTATAGTGAATGAATTAATATGGTCGATGTGGGATATTGTTTTTTGAACTATAAATTGCAATGTTTACCCAAAATTTTTTTGTGCACTCCATTTTTTCATTGTTTAAACAAATTATTATAAACAATTAATGTTTGACCATATATTTTCACTTTAAACACTAATTTTTTATTTATATGTTAAATCTTACCTGAGTAGACATATAGGAACATTTTTCAAAAATACCTGTGTATAAAAATAGCAGAAGGGATCTCGAACAGGTAGAAAAACGTGGAGGGGAGAGCGAAGCGACAGCTGTTATGTACAATAGAATTTCTCGGCTAGTTTAGTTGCAAGTAACACGTGTTCTGTGAATATTGTGATATTTTAGTGAAAAATTCTTGTATATTTTTGTACTGGAAGGTGTATTGAAGACGACGTTTTTATATTGAACTATTACAAATTATTTTGTATTGCTTAATTTGGTAAGTGATTAGATTGAAAACTACAGTTCATTATTGAATTAATTAAATAATAAATAAATCGAAAATCAAAGATCAGTTTCAATAAAAAAAATATATGATAATAATGAATGAAATGCAATTAATTAATTATTAATTGTTTTTTATTAGATTTCGAACAATGGATAAACCAACGGCTAGCAGCATGGCTGATGAAAATAGCTGCATAACAGCTGTATACACCTGGGTTCATCTTCCGAAACAAATTCAAATTTAGGAGAAATGATAAAAATCAGTAGAGGAGTAACCTCTTTACAAGCTGCTTCAACCGAACGATAAGATGGATTGTTACCTCACCTACAAACTGAATTTGTTTATGTTCATTCAAGTTGTCGACAAAAATATTAATAAAAAGTATATTGGAATGTCTAAGAATAAGGTCCGTGAAAATCTCTCATTATCGCCTCCGAAAAAAAAACTTCGAAGTAGCGTGAATTTCAATAACTGCAATAGGGAAAAAAACTGTTTTCTTTGCGGACAAGAAGCTGATAAAACAAAAGAAGCAAAATTAAATAAAGCTCGGCGTAGGCAGATTTCATACATCAACACTCCAACTTTAAATGAATCCATCACGAATTTTATAGCCGTCCAGAAAACTGATTATTATCGAGATATCTATAAAAGGATTTCTGGTATAACCGACTTACAGACACTTGCAGCAAAATATCGTTCGGATTTTTATAATTTGCTGAAAAATTCAATTCACCTCAGTAATGTTGAAAAGAAAATTAATCCGAGAATTTTGATGGTAGATGCAACAATGGAGCAAATATACGAGTACATAATTGCCAATTTATCATACAAGAGTTGAAAAACGTCATCACTACAGAGCATATCCTATTATACAGATAGATGAAGTAGAAGAAAATATTTGATGTAGACAACAATGTAATATATTTAAATAAACAGATTTTACACTTTTCATTAGTCGTAATTATTTTATACTACAGTGTAGCATGTTTACAGTGCAGCGAAAATAGTTGTTCCAATACTTCACCTATTATACAGATAGATGAAGTAGAAGAAAATATTTGATGTAGACAACAATGTAATATATTTAAATAAACAGATTTTACACTTTTCATTAGTCGTAATTAATTACCTTATTTTTTCAAATGTACACAATAGAGTACGTTCCATTTATAATTAAACTGGCCGAGAAATTCCATTATACATAGCAGCTGTCGCTCCGCTCTCCCCTCCACGTTTTTATACCTGTTAGAGATCCCTACTGCTATTTTTATATACAGGTATCTTTGAAAAATGTTCTTATATGTCTACTCAGGTAAGATTTAACATATAAATTAAAAAAAATACTGTTTAAAGTGAAAATATATGGTCAAACATTAATTTTTTATAATAATTTGTTTAAACAATGAAAAAATGGAGTGCACAAAAAAATTTTGGGTAAACATTGCAATTTATAGTTTAAAAAACAATATCCGATATCGATCATATTAATTCATTCATTATAACTCTAATCCGAGGTTTTACGGTTTTGAATGTTCCAGGTACTCCACTACAAGGCTAGAACTGAGATCAACAGTACCTTTCCGGTACATGTTGTTTCTAGCCTCATTTCTATTTTTTTATTATTTTTATAAATTAAATAATTATTGTATTCATTTGTAATAAGGAACTACAAGTAAATACTATTATAATTATTATTATATTCAAACTAATACAATAAAACTCAATTTGTAGTTGAAAATGTCTATTTAGGACGAAAGGTCAGTAACGATAGTTACAAATTGAAGTGGTAAGAATATAGAAAGTTCCATTTCTCAATTTGCATGATGATTTCCTACCACGTAGTAAAGGCTCCATCAATCAATTTATGGTTTTCGTGGTAGACAATTAATGAAGCTTGACAAAATAATACTCAATTGAATTTTCAACCGTTATATTTGTAACACCATTGTTTACATAAAAAAGAATGACTAAACTGATGTTGTCAATATACCTACGTCTCTCAAAATTTTTGGTATTCAGACTATGTGAAGTCAAAAAATCATTTTAACATTTGGGCTCAATCGTGAATTTGTTGCAGAAATTATAATATCGGTCAATGGTATTATAATATGGTCACTGAATTCGTCGGAGTAATTAAGGTGAAAATTGTACATAGTTCATGCTCCAGAACAGATATGCTTTTCAACTGGTATAAAAAAAGTTTCTACAACACAACAGGCATTTTATACTTAGAACTTACACTTAATTGCCGAAAAAACAGAATATAAATTTGCAAATTTTTTATGACGTACTTCATAGTATCATCCATCATTCCAATATCTTATCAATTTCCAAATGGTTTGTCAATAGAGGACATACTTTATATATTCATCTATCTATTGAGAACTATTTGACAACCGTTATAGCTTGATTCTCAATTTTTTCACTAAAAAATGTACGAAAACATTATGTGTTTGTTTATCGTGAAAAAGTTGTGAAAAACTATCATTATCAGTAATTAATTTAGTGTGATAATTTAGTGTGATAGTGTGTGTGTGTGTTAGTGTGTTAGTGTAATAATTTATCATTATCAGTAATTAAATTATCACTCTGTCACCATGACATTTTCATGTGATGAATGATATTCAGTTTTTTGACAATGCTTATTTTCAGCTGAATACCAACTAAACTATAGGTACTATCGAATAATTCATTTAAAAAACTAATTATGGAACCTGCGTTACAAAATCACAAGTGAATAATATAACAACAGAAGCTATTTATAGCTGTTTTCAATCTGCTTTTTTCATCCATTTCCTAATTTTCAGTAATAAAAATCATCTCGCAACAATTTGTGATCTCGGTGTGTGGAAGTACTTAAGTTATGATATTTGTTATGAAATAGCGGAATCTTATTGAAAATATTTCCTTGTTAAAAAGGTCAAAAATTTGCAGTAAATATTTTGTGGAAAAAATGTAAGAATGTTTCTACTGTTTTCTCAAGAGATATAATAAAAGACATTTTCAGTGTTTTTTCTGGGGGTAACTCAAGTTCTCTCTCATTCTGATTGTAATGGTTGGATGTTTTTGCCGTATTTGATATACAGGGCCTTCCAACGAAAACTAGGGATGTGGGTCGAGTGATACATCACTTGAAAGGTCTTCTGTTCTCTATTATTTCTGTAATTTTTTTCGAGATTGGTTCATGCGTTATTGAGAAATTGAATGTTGAACGTTTTGTTTAAGAACAAAAAACAGAAAATTCGCTCATTTTATTGAGGAAATCAAAAAAAGGATCATCAATGGAAACACTATCAACGGATAAAGTGTTCAAAATGACCTCCATCTTTCAAAAGCGTTCCTTACATTATTGAAGATGTCCGGAGTCAGAAACCAACATTTCCAAAGAATTTTCTGTCGCAGGTCTTTTAGATTTGTAGAATTCATTCAATCAGTAGCTGACGTTTTGAAATTGACGACACTGTTAGTTTTTTCTGCACTGGTAGTTTTTGTTGAATCTACTTGTCGCAGAACAAACAGTAAATAGTTGGCCACTGTCACTTCACTAATTATTATTGAGTCATCCTTGTTCACTGTGATCCAACATGGTTTATTCTACTGAAGAAAAAATAGACATTGTTGCAACCTATTATCGAAATAATGAATGTGCTAAAGCTGCTGCAAGAATTTATAATACGAATCATCTAGACCATAACGTGTGTCATCAGCTACAAGTGTTTTTCGGATATTGAAAGTCTACAAATTCCGTCCTTTCAAAATAAGGCTAGTTCAGGAATTAAACGAAAATATTCCTGATCGTAGACTTTAGTTTTGTGATGTGAAATTGACCAATAACCCAAACCTATTATACAATACATGTTTTGAAGACGAAAGTTCTTTCACGTAGAATGATGAAGTGAATAGACATAATTGTCGTTACCGGTGCGATGTGAATCCTCATTTGGTGATGGAAACACATTCACAAACTCCACAAAAATTGAATGTCTGGGCCGGCATTCTTGGTAATGATATTGTTGGACCATTCTAAATTGAAGGAAATCTCAATGGAGACAAATACTTTAATCTATTACAAGAATATGATTACACAAATTTTAGAAAATGATGACAATTTAGTAGAAAATGAAATAACATTCTAGCAGGATAGTGCACCCCCACATTTTGATGTTCGGGTGAGACAGTTTTTGGACGAACGTTTTTCAATGCGATGGATCGCAGAAGTGGTCCAGTGGAGTGGCAAGCTATATCACCTGATCTCACAGGTGAGGACACCTGAAATCGAAAGTGTACTCTACTGAGCCTACAAATATAGAAGACCTGCGACAGAGAATTGTTTGGGAATGCTGATGGCTGACTCCGGACATCTTGAATAATGTACGGAACGCTTTCGAGAGTACACTGTATTATTGTATGGAACTAGGTGGAGGTCATTTTGAAAAATTCATCCGTTGATTTTGTTTCCACTGATATTATTTGTTGATGGTTTCGTCATTAAAATGAACGACAACGAATTTTCTGTTTTTTTTACTGAAATAAAACTTGCAACATTTAATTTCTCAATAACGAATGAACCAATTTAGAGAAGTATCACAAAGGTTATAGAGGAACAAAAGACTTTTCAAATGATGTATCACTCGATCCCCCATGTCATTGAAAAACAGGGGTGTAGTGTTGTTGACCGCAGGGGGATGGAATTTCGGGTATGACATGCCCGTTTCTGACTTACAGGGAAGGTCAAGGTAATAGAGAAACAAAAGACCTTTCAAATGATGTATCACTCAATCCCCCATGTCATTGAGAAACAGGGGTGTAGTTGTTGACCGCAGGGGGGTGGAATTTCAGGTATGACTACATGTCCGTTTCTGACTTACAGGGAAGGTCGAGTTTTCCTTGGAACGCCCTGTAGAAATGATTATTTAGCTATTAAATGATATGAGAAAATTTGAAAAAAAATTATCAATAATGGGATGTGACTGTCAAATGGAAATAATCTAATGTCATACTTGCTGAAAAGTGAACAATCCCAGAAATACCATGCCTTCTTTCTTGTTTTCTAAAAATTATTTCAAAATATTTATATGGAATGATATTTTTTTATCTACAAGAACATTATTATTATTATGTAATACTTTCAGGAGTTTCTTTTTTTTTAGTTTAACCGATCAGTAAATGATGTGATGTTCAATATTTTTCATTTTGAGTTCATGAATATATTTTTCCACTTCATTTCTTTCGATGTAACTCATCTTCATTTTCAATTTCGTGATGATATATGTTTCTCATTTACTGAGGGATGCTTCAGCGTTTATAATTATGTATGTTTGTTGCTTTTTCAAAAAATTTCAATGGTTTTATCGCTGAACTATTTAATTTTCAATGAGATGGAACAGTTTTTTTGTTTTCCAATCATCTCTGTATTATCTCAATATGAAATGTAGACAGCGTCTTATTGAAAAAATTAATTTTTCTTTTTTTGTCAAGCTTGTGTCCGTTGGCAGATAAGTTTGAAGGTTGTATGCATGAGAAACTGAAATTAGCACCATGTAATACCTATGAAACTCAATTTAAATTATGATCTATTCTATTCTCTGAAGGCCCAGAAGGAACAAGGAACAAAACGGCATCATACTATTATTTCTAGTACAATTCGAAATTTACCAATATTTTAAAACAAATTCCTGTTCCTAAACACCTCATTATCCCGGTACTCACACATCAATCATTTCATGAGATTTGAAATTCTGATTACTGAATCAAGAGGGCGCGACACCGTCCTTTGAACAAATGAGTGAAGTGATGAATTAAGAAAGGAATCTAGGAAGCCGTTGACTTAACTAGATACTTATTCACATTCTATTTGAGTACATCTATAATTATATTCCAAAAAAATAAATTCGTCTTATATTATAAATATAACAACGTCAACACATTTTCTGGCTACATATTTAATAGAATTGACTTAAAATTCTGCCGTGAAGCAGTTTACTTTTCCTTTGGAAAATGTCACAGCAGTAACTATTCATCGATTCATCATTTTCATATTGTCTCTTATATTATAGATTAAAATAAAATTCATTTTCAACTGTGGACTACAGAGATTCATGAAATCAGCATTAACGAGCGAAATCATCGATGTTTCATGTATAAATATAAAATCAGCTAGATATCATGAAAGTCTGTCTTCTTGACATCTACCTATACCTACCAACGAATCAATCCGTTATTTGATACTGGTGGACTATATTCTTTCGTCTTTAGTATCTGTCAAAAAGAAAAACATCTCACTCCCAAAATCTATTCTATTGAAAACTACGATCTCGTTACAACAAAACATAAAGTTCTTTCTCAAAGATGAAATGAATACAGTAAATTACATAAATTACATGCCGACATCTTCATTTTTCAACGAAGTTCACGATTTTTTGTTCATGATGGATCTGAAAAGTGGAGTAAAATTTCACTTTAATGAAAATGAATCGTGAAGTTTAAATAACAGTTAATGTTTCATACATTTTTTGACTTGATGACTTGCATATAATTTAACGATAAACAAGGATAGTTGATTTTTCGTACATTTGATAGTTAGAGATATATTTTCAGTTAGGAGTCTATTCATTGCAGCAAAGTTGACTATTTCCGGGTATTATTTGATGAAAATATACAGGACGAACAGAAAATTTCGATTATTTTTGGTCCATCCTCTTTATATGCGAATGAATTGAGAATTTGTTTAAAGTTTGTCACAGAAACTTCCAATATTTCATCAGAATAAGGTCATGAAATATCTATACAAGGTCTCGTCTAATTTGGGGACCATCAACCGTACAATTTTAAAGACGAACCTGCATTTTTAAGGAATTTTTTGATCTACAAGGTTCATGTACACCCACACCAAAATTCTTGCCCCCCCCCTCATCAATTCTAAAACAAAATATTTATCATAGCTGGTTTTTTGTATATTTCATTGTATATTTTTTTCAATTTTCTCTAATTTTAAAAAGTGGTTCATATCGATTTAGCGGATAGATTAAGGATTCCCAGTTATCCGAATAGTGCATTTGTAACTTATATGTTTTCAAAATATTTTTTTTGTCGCACCCCTACGAACGACAACTCTCAGAAGTCGAAACTTGTGCGAGCTAAGGACTAACGAGGTCTTACCTTTTAACATGTGATTCCCAACACGGGTTGGGGGATATCGAGTGAAAATCAAGCGTTCTGTCTGCGGCTTGAACCATGGAACCACACATCAGCCGACTGACTGAGTGAACAAAGCAGACACGTCGAACCGCCAGAACAGTCTCAGCAGTCCAAAGTCATTTAAGAAGAACGTTTGGTCGATTAATTTCAAGTACCACAATACGACGGAGACTTGCTAGTGCCAATTTGTAATCCAGGAGGCCATTAAGAGTACCCAGGCTACTTCCCAGACACATAGCCGGTCGTCTACAGTCGGCACAGAAAGTGGGCTTTCAGCTCAGTGGCAAAATGTACTTTTTTCGGACGAAACCAGATTTGGTTAAGTCGGCGACACAGAGTTTGGAGAGGGCCAGGGCGACAAGAAAGACTATCTTTTGCTAGAGAAGTCGTTCCATACAAAGACGGATCAGTAATGTTTTGGGGAGGCATAATGCATGGTCGTCGTACGCGACTTATTCTCATTCCAGATACTATGGCAGGTGATAGATATGTTCGAAACATTATTGAACCCATTATTTATCCTCTCCGAAATGAAATTGGATCCAATTTTATTTTCATGGATGACAATGCTAGGCCACATTGCACGAGAAGAGTACAACACGCACTAGAGATTGAGAATATTCAAAGATTACCGTGGCCAGCAAATTCACCAAACATGAATCCCATTGAGCACATGTGGGATCTCGTTAAACGAGCAATCTCAAACAGAATTAAACCTCCTAGCACCCTCCCGGAAGTCACACTAGCGGCCCAAGAAGAATAGAACAACATCCCAATGGATACCATTAACGCCCTTATTGTTTCCATGCATAGACGAGTTGACACCTTACTACAGAACAGGGGAGGACACACTGAATATTATTGCATTTTTGATTTAGCTCTAAAATAGTTTTCTTCTACATTTCAGATTCTGGTAATCATTTTATTATGCACTATTTTTCGTTTGTATTTTTTCTTGTTCAGTTAAAATTAAATTCAGCCAATTTGCGTTGGTTACATAACCAAATTGAATGTACTTTGTAATACATTTCTTTACTTATGATAATATTGTCTCATTTGGACAAACATAAGGGGGTTCAAGAATTTTGGCAATGTGTGTATTATTGCAAAATTGAAATTCAGGTGTTTCCAAAAGTATTTTGATGTCATTAAAAAATTATTGGTTTTTATTACGGTCCAATTTATCAAGTGATCCTAATAGCGCAGGTGAAAAATTCCAATAATACCCCATCATAAAACCCTATAAGTAGAAAGGAGTGTGACTTCCACTGATTCCTTAAAATGTATGATGTAATGAGTTGAACACAATGAGTTTCATTAATAGTAAAATTATTATTCGCCATAAAAATGTAAAAACTTCATAGATTATGTAATAACGCGATATAATTTGTACATTCACATAATGTAATTTCTGATATTTTAATACATTTATATCAACTGTCCTTTTTTCTAATCGGATATATTGATTGAGAAATCACTGTATTTGAAAAATTCTTTAGTACCTATTATGAAGCTTGTATTCCGCAAAATTCTAAACTCACTCAAAGCAAATTCTCTTCACTCTGCTCTCAAATGAAGTCATTATTGTTGTTATAAAAATGCCCAGTAACATTCGTCAACTATTGTTTATATGTAAAATCCGATCATCGGCAAAGGAGAGTTTATATACGCAGCTAACATGGTGGTCAGATTGACTGAAAGAAACGAAAATGTGTCCATAAAAGCAATGTGAAATTATGGAAACATTTCAAACCGTCTAACAGGTTAATTCATTTGAGAAATATAACCTTTTAATAGGAAAATGATATGTTGATTGGTTAACCATCAGATTGCAAAAGCCTGCACAACACTAATATATTAAAAATTCATATGTTTGGAACTGATATTAAATTTGGATTATGAATACAACGAAAAATTTTGGGAGGAAAAGACATTTTCCTTTTTATGTTTATGTTATAACGAGATTTATCTAAGGATAGATTACCTATATGAAGTGGCATATTGAAAATTCAAACTACAGAAGCTCTTCAGATGTAGAATTCAAAGAAAGATATTTCATGACTTTGAACCTTTTTTTTCTTCTTTATTCTTTCAGATATTCAACTTCATGCACGATAAATTTTAAACAATTATGATGAAAACACCGCTCATTCTGGATCACACTGTATGTACACTTGTTATGAAAACTACCATCAAGTATGTTGTGGTGTATAAAGTATTTAAAAATCATGCACTAATGATAATTGACATGGAAATGTAGAAAGGGATAAAAATTGTGCTAAATTTCAATAATTACATCTAGTAGGTATCGATTGTCTAGGTATAGGTCTCACCGCAGTAGCAATACTGGCCAAGCTATAGAATGGAGAGGCAGGACAAAATTCTAGAATATTTTCGATGTTTCATCGAGTCGTCAATGTTTGACAAAAAGAAAACTAATATTGATAGCAGTAGTATGCAATGTGTCCCAGATAAGAATGAACAGCATGAGGATATCGGAAACAGTAAGTGATACGGGATCATCTGAATTAGATAAAACTAGCGCATTTATGTGCCTAATAATATGCCATTTAGAAAGTTTTAATATTCCGAGTAGTTTCGGAGACATCCGAGAATTACGTTTTTATTTTTTCCTAGCTTTATTTTCAAAGAAAATGTAAAACAAATAGCACTTTGCCAAAGCCACTTTGTGAGGACTACACGATTACGTATGCATAATTCTTCTGCGACGTTTCGTCTTTTAGAAAACATCATCAACTTTGTATTTTTATATGAGCCGAAACTAAAGTATACACTGTTTACGACTCCATTCTTCATTGTGAATATAGCAGCGTATCACAAAATCTGATTTCATAACCATTTCTCTCACAAAATGAAAAGTGATTACTTAACCTTCTTTTCTTCAATTTCAGATAGTACGCGATGGAAAAAATTTCATATTTTGATACTTACCACTTGCTGGAATTTTTGCGTTGTTGAATACAAAGGCGAGTCGCAATATCAAAAGTTCATCTTATAAAATGTAATTGAAATGTATTATAAGAAATAAACGGAAATGTATAACAAGTGTTCAAATAACCCGTCGTTATTTTCTAAGCACAAGTACGCTCATCTCACAGATGAATTTAAAACTTGAATTAACGTATTTGGAACAAAATTGTCAAAGGATGCAGTAACCAATGCTAGCAAATCTTCATTTTATAAATTATGAGAGTACACTTGATTCTTGATATATCCCCAAAAGAAAAAGTCTAGTGGAGTTAGGTCGGAGAACCTTGTAGGCCAGGATGTATCATTATGAGTATCAATCCACTGTCCCGGAAAGCAACGGTTCAAATAATCACAAACAATTCTAGCGTTATGTACTGCAGCACCATCTTGTTGAAACCACTAGCTGTGAGTAACCGTTGAAGGCAAATTATCTAGAGCGGCTTCCAAATCATTTACTAACAAATTTATGTACCGTGCTTTTGTACAATTGTTTTGGTAGATAAACGGCCCAGTTACATTCGTACCTAAAATCCAAACCCGCATATTGAAATCGAAACGATGTTGATGTCAGGACACTTTGTGTACACGCGGATTTCGTTGTGTCCAATAATGAACATTCTGCCTTGTTGTAGCATTAGTCTTTATTATCAGAATGAAGAATTTTTTTTTGATCATTTGGCAACATTGCTTCTCAGAAGTTTTTAACTGCGAATAAAAATTCGAGAGGCTAGAGAGAGTAGCAAGGAAGAAAATTGTCGGAAGTCGGTCCGTCCGGTCCATATTTTTTAAACAATTTATGGTAATTCGGTATAGTTTTACGGTGAAAGTTGAAAGTCAGTATAGCGTGCTTTTGATCCGTTATTCATTGGGTTAAGGGTGATGTTTTTCCTAATTCCTCCTTTCCTTCCCAAAGCCATTTCCAGCACCATCAGAAATCGAAAAGACAAATTAATGAAGGTAAGAACTTTCTTCATATTTCTCACAGAACTTCATCGGGATGTTCTAGAAAAAAAACATGCCTATTGAAAATGCCATTGTTGGTGATCTTAGTTTCATCAGACCAGAATATT